CCTCCGTGTGCCTCACGCTGCGGCCCTGCCTCAACGGGGGGAAGTGTATTGAGGACTGCATCACGGGGAACCCCTCCTACACCTGCTCTTGTCTGGCAGGCTTTACGGGAAAGAGGTGTCACATAGGTGAGTGCCGCCCCACCACGGTGCCCTCCTCTCTGTCCTTCTTCTCCCCTGGCCGTCTGTGCGTCCCATCTGTGCCTTTCAGCAGCATCACCTCCTGCAGCAGGGTCACTTGCTGCTGAACTGTGTTTTCCTATGGCTCTTTCTTTCTTTCTCTGCCAGGAGGAAGCTCCCCCTGAGCTCCTGTTCTCTCCTCCCTGCTCTTTTTTCAGATGTGGATGAGTGTCTCTCCCACCCATGTCAAAATGGAGCTACCTGCATCAACAATGTCAACAGCTTCAGCTGCTCCTGCCCTCCGGGCTTCAAAGGTGCCAGCTGTGAGACGGGTGAGTGAATGGCAGAGTGGAGAGGTCAGGGTGGCTCTTACCTGTGCGTGAAGAGCTCGACATCCAGCATCCCAGCAGGCAGGAAGGGTGGGAGTGCTGGGCATCCTGGCCCCAGGCACTGCAGCCTGGCCCTGAAGGCACCTGGAGGCTGGGAGGATGCACCCAGCTGCACGGCAAGGAGCAGCGTGTAGCTTGGTGCCACCTCCTTGTAGCTGGGTGCTGTGCCACGTGCTCTCCGTGGCCCTGTGTGAGCAAAGGGGCCTGCACTATGTGATCTCCTGAGGTTCCTTCCAACCTCAACCATCTGGGACACAAGGGAGGAGCTCCAGGCCAGATGCCAGGCTCAACTCCAGCTGCTCTTAGACCCACGGGTGCCCATGGAGAAGGGTCTGCTGGCTACAGAAATTCCAGGCTCTGGGGCTGCTCCAGGGAGACTCTGCAGTCCCAGAGCCCGCGCAGCTGGCGGGAGCGGGGCCGAGTGCTGCGATCTTGGATGTCAACTTGCTGTGAGCGAGGGGAACTTTGCTCTGGCTGCGAGCGCTTCCTGCTGCTGGCAGCCTGCTCCTCGGAGAGCCCATCCCGGCACCGGCACCGCCTCGACCTTGTGGAAACAAGGCAGCCCCGGGGCTCCGCGCGACGCTCTCGCAGGCGCCACTTTACTCCCGAGCCCTTGGAAGCGGCCGGGAGCTCGCCCAGCTCGTCCCCTGGGGAGTCGGGGCTAGCGCGGAGAGCAGGAAGACGCGGTCACCTCCGCAGCCCTGGCAGCAGCGCTATGGGGACGGCCGGGAGGGCCCCTTTCCAAAGCGCTCGGCAGTGCCAGGTTTCCACGAGAGCAGAGGGAAGCACAGGTGCCGCGAGCCCAGCGGAGCAGCCTGCGAGCTCAGGCACCCAGAGAGCAGCGGGCTCACTTGTGAGGGAAGGAAAGGAGAGAGAAACACGCGGCACCAAGAATAGAGGCCGTGCTGTCCAGGGGAGGGTTTCTTGTCCAGTTTGCGGTGCCAGCAGCCGTGCCTGGCTTGTCCTGCTGCGCCTCCGGAGTGAGGGTGATAGGGAGAACCTGCCGGGCAGGCACCGAGTTTGCTGGCGAGAGCTCCAGCTCTGCTGCATCCTTGGGGAAGGGGGTGTGTTTGCACCACTCCTGCGCCTGGGTTTATTCCTCTCCTCTCTTTTCTTTGGTGTCCTGCCACAGAAGAATCACCGTGTGAAACCAAAGTGTGCCAAAATGGTGGGAAGTGCCAGGTGGCCAATGGGACCGCGCTGTGCTCATGTCAGCCGGGATACGCAGGGCAAGACTGTGAGACAGGTAGGACCAAGCCCTGCGGGAATATGACACTTGGTGCTGCCTTCGCTCCCTAGCTTCACCGTCTGGCCTCGTTCCTCTACCCTCAGCTGCGGTTTTGGGTTGGGGTCCGCACTGCTGTTCCAATGGGAGCATCTGTGTTGGCCTGCTCACGAGCGCTGAGGGCTGCTCCCATGGAGGCTGTACTGAAAGAGAAGCGGGCTGGAAACGCAGCGCCTGGCAGATGGTTTAAATTCCAGCAAGGCTTTGGGGAAGTGCACGTTAACACCCCGTCCATCGTGCTCACCAAGCCAGCAGCAAAACAGCCCCGAGCCCTGTCCGCCTGCAGGCAGCTGGCGACCCCAACCGCTACCTCGGGCGCACAGGGAGCAGCGGGGAGGTCCAGCACTCCCCCGGGCCCTGCAGCTCAGGCAGGGGGGGATCTTCTGGCCCGGGATTGAGGGCAGGGCCCCAGGAAAGCTCTCTGCTCCGGTGAGGAGAGCCAAGACAGGAGCAGCAAGCGAGAGCCGGCAGCCAGCCCGCATTCGAGTGCTTCTGATGGGCCCTTCCCGCTTTGCAGAGCTCAACGAGTGCGAGTCCGGCCCGTGCCTGAACGGAGGGCACTGCGTCGACCTGGTTGATAACTACACGTGCGTCTGCCTGGAGCCCTTCGTGGGACAGCGCTGCGAAATAGGTGTTTGGTCCCTCCTGCGCCCAGGGGCCGAGGCCTTGTCCCTGGGGTCTCGCCGGCCCTCTCGGCCTTGTGGCTGCTCCGCTCACCGCTCCTCCCTTCCAGACCCTTCCTCCTGCGAGGACCGGAGCTGCAGGAACCGGCAGACGTGCAACTACATCCGCCCCGGGCGCTACATCTGCACGTGCTCCCCGGGTTATTACGGCAACAACTGCCAATACGGTGAGCAGGGGAGCGACGCTTGGGCCGCAGCGGCTTGGCCGGGGCGGCCCCTTCAGAGAACTTCCACCCTCTCCCCATGGCTGCGGACCCGCAGACGGGACGGGCTCCGTGTGCCCTGCGAGCAGCGTGCCGGAGCCCCAGGCTGAGGCTTCTCCTGCCCACAGGTGGGCCCCGGGTGCCTGGCGCCTGCCTCTCCAACCCGTGCCAGAATGAGGGCAGCTGCCTGGAGACAGAGCAGGGCTACGTCTGCGAGTGTCGCGAGGGCTACACCGGGCAGGACTGTCATGACAGTGAGTCCCTGCAGTCTTTCCACTGCCTTCCCACACCTCTAGGGAAGCCCTTACAGGTGGGGTTGCCTGTTCCCTAGCAAGAGGCAGCCCCAGCAGAGCCTGTACGTGGCTCTTGGGCTGAGCAGATCTCTGAGAAGAGGCTGCTAATGCAGCACCTCTTGGCAAGGCAGCACCTGGACACCTGGTGGCTGCAGTCCACCCAGACTCCCAGGTGACATCCAATGGTGTCACTTGGCTGCCCAGCCCCATGGATGCAGGTCCAGCAGACGGGATCCTGAAGAGCTCCCTTCTCATCTCTTGCAGAGCTGTCCGAGGGCTGCGAGTGCCGCAACGGGGGCAGCTGCCTGGAGGGAAACGTCACCATCTGCCAGTGCCCGCCGGGCTACTTCGGTCTCCTCTGCGAGTTCGGTAAGCAAAGGCTTCTCGCCCCATGCTTGGCTTCTCGCTCCATGCTCAGCTTCTCTGTTTGCTCCCTCTTGTGGACGTTCAAGGCCACTGGCCTCCAAGCAAGCCCTGGCCGCCTCAGCCTGTGCCGAAAGCTCGTTTGGTGCCGCGGGGCTGCTCTGAATCCAAATTCCACACGTGCAGGATGAGGGTGGGGAATGGTGCGTTAGAGACACATCCTCATGGTGAGGAAACAACAGCTCTTGCTGTCGTTCCGCCTTGAGTGGTGCCTTCCCAAGCACTGGACACAGCCTGGCTGCTTCCCCTGGCGAAGGAAAATGTAGCCTTCACTCACGGCACCCCCAGAGCTTTCTGAGCATTCAAAATAGCCCTCAGCACTCGCGTGGGCTGTGAGGTGAGGCCACCTCTGACGAGTTAAGGAGCTCCCGTTGCTGGCGTTTTCTGCCTGGCCATGCTGGCCGCCGTGATGCTGCTGCTGCGGGACGTCACCGTGTGCTCTTGCAGAAGTGACCGCCACGCCGTGCAATGTGAACACGCAGTGTCCCGACGGCGGCTACTGCATGGAGTATGGCGGGAGCTACCTGTGTGTGTGCCACACCGACTACGGCACGAACCACAGTGAGTCTGCTCGGCCGGGGCACGACGGGAAAGCTGGGGATAATCACAGGGTTTATCCCGCACGGGTGGGAAGCCGCTCGGACATCCTCTGTGACGCCCTGTGTCTGGCTCTGCAGCGATGCCGTCCCCCTGCGACTCGGATCCCTGCCTGAACGGGGGGTCCTGCGAGGTTCACGATGACTCGTACACCTGCGAGTGCCCTCGGGGCTTCCTGGGCAAGCACTGCGAGAAAGGTACCTGGCACGAAGCCCCCTGCTCGCGGCAGGAGCTGCAGGGAGGGTCGCGCCGTCGCACCTGAACGCTTCCTCGGTGCCACGAGCACCTGGGAGCAGGCAGCGGCGCTTCCCGAGGCGCCCGTGGGCAACTCGCGCTCTCCCCGCAGCCCGGCCACGGCTCTGCAGCGCAGTGCCGTGCCGCAACGGGGGCACCTGCAAGGAGGCCGACGGCGAGTACCACTGCGCCTGCCCCTACCGCTTCACGGGCAGGCACTGCGAGATAGGTACTGCCCCGCGCGCCCCTGCCCGCCGCCGCATGCCAGAGGTGGCGCCGTCCTGCCCGCTGCTTCATGGCCTCCTGCCCTGCAGGTAAACCGGATCCGTGCGCCTCGGGGCCCTGCCAGAACGGGGGCACCTGCTTCCACTACATCGGCAAGTACAAGTGCGACTGTCCCCCTGGCTACTCCGGCCGGCACTGCGAGATCGGTACGTGCGGGGACATGGGTGGGTGGCACCCAGCGAGGGGGATCGTTTCCCATCACTGTGTGCCAGCAACGTGCCCTGCTCCTCCTCCAGCGCCTTCTCCATGCTTCCTGAGCCCCTGCGAGAACGGCGCCACATGCAAGGAGCTCGGCGGGGACTATGCATGCGCATGCCCCATGGGCTACGTGGGGAAGCACTGCCAGTTGGGTAAGGAGGGCCCCGCTCCTGCCGCCGCCAGCCAGGAGCTCAGGCCACTGCCCCGCTGGCTCACGGCCCCGTGTCCCCAACGCAGAGGTCGACTGCGGCGTCCCCAACGAGGTGAAGCACGCGCAGGCCTCCTACAACTCCACCAAGGTGGGCTCGCTGGCCGAGTACCGCTGCGAGCTGGGCTACACCCTCAGCCAGCACAACAACCCGCGTGTCTGCCGCCCGCCGGGCGTTTGGAGCGACCCGCCGGAGTGCGACGGTGAGGAGCAGCGGGAAGCAGCTGAGCGCTGCGGACGCCCTTCTGTAGCTGTGGGCATTGCTTCTGGGGCACCCCACAGCCTCTCGGGTGGCTTTCTCCCTCTGACTGGCTCTTTTGTGCCCCGAATCTTGCAGAGATTGATGAGTGCAGGTCGCAGCCCTGCCTCAATGGCGGCCTGTGCAAGGACCGCATCGCCGAGTTCCTGTGCGTGTGCGAGCCGGGATACGCAGGCCACCACTGTGAGCTGGGTAAGAGAGCGTGAAGAACGTGCCCCGGGGCCACCACAACACACGGGGCACATGGCTTTCCTGGGTGACCACAGCAAACGCTTCCTCATCCGTTCCCTCACGGGGAATGGTGGCAGGGTGGGAATGGCACATTGAGTGCCCCCATGTCCTTGCTGGACCGTTCCCACCTCCCGCCCCGTGTGGGGCTGTCGTGGGTGGCGGGCTCAAGTGTCACCTCCCGACAGATATCGATGAGTGCCAGTCGGAGCCCTGCAAGAACGGCGGGACCTGCAAGGACCTGGCGGGCTCCTTTGTGTGTGCCTGTCCTGAGGGCTTCGTGGGGACCCAGTGTGAAACAGGTAGGGTCCTCGCAGAGTGGGGCCCTCGCAGGGAGTACTGCAGCCTGGCACGGGGGCAAAGCCCGAGGAGGGGACGCAGAAGGGTCCCGAGGACCCCCCCGCAATGGATATTCAGTCTCTGCCCTCATGGACGATGCTGGGGGCACTCCCTGTCTCCTGGAGCGCTGGCTGCTTGTGGCTATTTCCTCGTGGCTTCTGGCCAGAGTGTGGCCAGACCCACATCAGCCTGGCCCGGGGTGGGTCTCTGGTGGAGAGGGAATGGCCCAAGCGGGCGGCTTGGCCTGTCCACGATGGATCTATTTTTCCTCCCAGCCACAGCACCCGAGTGGGATGAAGCCATCACAGCACTGACCCAGGGCCTGACCCAGAGCCACCAGTGCTCTTTGCCACAGGCCTTGCCATGGGCAGGGCACCTTTGAGGACTCTGTTTAAACTCAGGGGGGGCCCAGTTGTGCCTTGGGCATCGAGCAGGCCCTTCACCTCGTGCCTCCTTCTTGCCTCTAGAAGTGGACGCTTGCGAGTCAGGCCCGTGCCAAAACGGAGGGGATTGTGAAAGCTTTGGAGGCTCCTACCTGTGCGTGTGCCCAGAGGGCTTCTTCGGCTACCACTGCGAGACGGGTGAGGGGGGAGGGCA